CTGTTATGCATTTTTATTCTTCTTAATATAAAAGATTTTTATTAAAAATAAAGAAAAAATGAGATCCCCCTTCCTCTTCATCCTCCTCCTAACCCCCCTCCTCTTAAGGAGGTTTTGTGTTTGGGAGGCTTATGTCTCTTGCGCTCTGAATTATGCTTCACGCCTCTAGGTAGTGGAATGCCTCCATGTTTTAAAACATTGATACACATGTATATCACAATTTCCGGGCAGGGCTGGACCGAAATGATAAACCTTACTTCATCTTCAACTACAAGAGACAGGTAAGTGTTTGCCCGGACAGTCCCGTCACAAATCAGAGTAAAATTGAACTTTGGTGGGTGCAACTTGTGGAACCTAAGTAGCTCAGGAGTTGGTAGCATTTTTAGAGATCATAAAGATGATATTTTGATCAGAACAGATTGTTGAAAGGATTCATGTAGCTGACCCCATATAGTTGGGATAAGGCATGACGATGATGATGAAAGAGGGAGATTTTGATGGTATTCTGAGGAAATTCAATAAGAGTAGAACTATTTGCTCTGATCTGAGGACTGAAATTGGCTAGTTTCCTTGGGTATGGGAGTCTGATCAGATCATGGAAGGAGACTCCAAATCTATCACCAGCTGGATGCAAGACGAAACAGCAAGTCCATGGAACTTAAGACATTTAATCAGGGAATGTAGACATCTGGCCCTCACTATAGTAGAAGTCTTCTCATGGACTCAAGGGTCAGAAAATATTCTGAAAGTTTCCCCAGCTAGGGAAGGAGTATATTACTTTGGCTGCTTAACTACTGGAGTAAAATCTGCATAGTTTTTATATTTTTTGGATGATCTACATAGGCTGGGATGGAGTAGCAATAGGATAGCTCTAGGTTTGTGTCTTGGGGAAGATAGAAGTATTTTGATGATTTACATTATTTCTTTAACAATGTGTGCTTTTGGACCCCTTGTAAGAGGGTGTGTCTTTAGACCACCACACAAAGTTTACTTTCACTCCTTTTATATAAAAAGGAAGTAATTTCAGTTTTTACGGTGTATGTTGAAGCCACTTCTTCCAACATTGACAAATTTTCAGAAAAACAAGGAGGTGTCATCCACTGTAAAAAGTGAAAGTAGCTACTTTTTAAAGGAGCACAAAAGTTTTTTCCACCGCACAAAACAAACTAGGATGGGCTGGGCTCCCACTGCACCATGTCATCTCATGTTGTGTCTTGTTTGGGGTCTTTGGCTTCTTTTTTACTTCCTATTTTTAAGTTTTTTCCTTATTTATCACCATATTTGCATTATAGTCTTCTTTCTACTAATTCTAGAGAAC